ATGCTATGCAGTTCAGTCCGTAATCTTTCAGAAAAAAAAAATATTTAGCTGAGAAATTTGTTTTGCGGAATACCATTTTCAACTATATTTTTTAAAAGTCTGGGATCAAAACACGCTGTGTCTCCAATGATTTTTCTGTTAACTGAGAAACGTTCCTCTTCGCTAGTGGTAGTCTGATCAATTACTCTACGGAAAACCTCCACTCTGAAACAATTAAGAGGGTTCATTTGTATGTGATTAAAGGCAATTTTCCCTGCCATACGTTTCTTTTGATGAACTCGTTCTACACGAGACTCTATTTCAATTTCTAAATCAAGTTCACTAGCATCAAAGAGTGTGTTGGTTTCTTCAAAAAATGCAATCGTCTTAGAATGGACATCTTTTTCATTTGCAAATTCATAATCTTTTAATTGCTGACAATCTAATTACAGCATTATGTATATCACAAACTTGGTAACAAACGGCGCTTTTTGACGCTTCTAATTTTTGCTTAAAAATTAAAAGCGTCAAAGCCAAAACGTGTCACAAATTTTTTGTTTAAATGCAAAACTGTTTGCTTTACTTTTGATTTAATTTAAATTACTTGCTTCTTTTCGAAATTATTCCAAAGGAAAATATCGCACGGAGGATCCTATAAAGAACAATGGAAAATCTTGTAAGCAATGTATACTGGTAAGGAAGCATTAGCTTTGATTTTGGACTGCTGACTTAGTAAAACCAATTACTAAACAATTCGCATTGGAGCAGTTTTTAGAAGAAACATTTATCTAACTTAAAATGAAGTAAGGGAAAAAATAAATTATGCATACCTTAGTGTGGAACACAAACTACTGATTATTCAGCCTAAGTTGATATACAGAGCCTTTTTGACCATTCTACATACAGGTTGTTAAAAATACTCAATGAATCTGTAAAGGCTCCTGAAAAATTCATTCTTGTCTTTATACACAAAGTAGAGTTTAATGATTTAACCGGACAATCATTCGTTATATTGAAGAATCTGGCAATTTACTATAGACTAATGAAAAAAAATCCTCTACGCTTTACTGCTGATTTCATTATGTAAAAGAAACTGCTGAGGTTATTACACAAGAATAAATTTCCTTCAAAAAGTGATTTAAAATCAACGGTCTTTAATTTCTTTATTATCAAACATAAGTTAGAATGCACAATTTTTGATGGAAATGTTCATACTAAAGTTTCTCCTTTAAGTAATTCTTTTCAAGTTAGTAGTAGTTTGTGGACTGATTTCTTCAAATATAAACAATCAAAGTATCGATTTTTCAAAAATCTCTAATACAGTTTTTACTGAGCTTGGATTGAGCATATTACATGCATGGATTAGATTGTTTGAATGCTGCATTTTTATAAGTTATTGAATTGAAAAAGAAATTGTTTTTTTTAAAAAAAAAAAAAAAAGATTATTGTTCAGCAAAAGATAAAATATCACTTAGGTTAAACTGTTGATGTACAAAAAGCAGCGGTTCATGTATAACAAATGATGGAAACATGAAGAGTATTCCAAAACTATAAGGTGTCTGCTGAAATACTTGGCTTAGATAAAAATCTCATGAAACGTTTTTACATAATTCTTTGTGTTTTATTGTGCAAACATCAAACTAACACTAATGAACTTGAAAAATATACTAAAGAAACAGAAAAGCTCTACGTTTTTTGGTACCTATGGGTCCCAATCGCTGAAATTGTACATAAAATTCTTGATAAATCAAAGCCAATAGGTATTATATACTATATATATCTGAGGAAGAAATAGAAAACACTATACAAGAAAGTATTCAAGAAAAGTCACTAATGAAGATGTTATGCAAAAATTATTGCGCAGTTCAGATCCACTTATTACCTATCTAAAGGTGAGTTTCCACTCATCCGTTTTTTCACGGGAACGGGAAAGGGAAGGGAAAAATAATCACGTGGGCATGCGTATTATAAAGTTTTAATTTGTCCGAAGTAAAACTGCGCATGCTCAAGTGACTATTTTTCCCTTTCCTATCCCGTTCCCGTAGAAAAACGGATGAGTGGAAACTCACCTTAAGAAATAGTTCAAAATGTATTAAAGACATTAAACTTTATAAAGATTGTATTAATTTTTATAGCTACTTTTTTTTAATTATAAGTTATGTATAATTAATATAATATAAGTTTAATTATAAATTATGTATATTTTTACTATGATTTCTGATAAAATATCTAATAAATGTTTCTTTGTTTATAAAAAGGGGTCTAACACGTAACAAACATTTTAGTTAATTAATGCTTTGAATTTGGGAAAAACTGTTTCTAAAAACAACCAAAATTTGTCTAAAATCCCTAACGCCCTATACACACTTTTCTATTAAAGTGTTTAAGGTGCCGGGTTTTTTTTGCAAAAAAAAAAAAAAACAATTATTTTTAACTAGGAAGTTAAAAATAATGTGCTAAAAATAATGTGCTCTGCTACGCCTGTTTTCTTACCGATAGATCAAATTATGCCCAGAGCTCGCTTCGAACCCTGGATCTCTTAAGTGGGCGCTCTAGCCACTGCGCCACGACCGGTTATAGTACCCGCTAAAGAGCTTTTTATCTTATCTTCATTAGCTCAGTGATTTAAGAGCTGACCTCAGAGTCAACAACAACTAGATGTTTTCGTAGGTTCAAATCCACTGCGAGCAAAAAAACATTTTTTAGGTTATAGCTTCTTGCCACTTTTTTAAATGCAGAACAAACGGTTTAAACAAAAACGACTTATTATTGTTGGAAAAGAAATATTATACTTGACCGTTCCATATACGACCCGTAAACTAAACATAACCTACTTTGCAATTATAAGAAACAATTTTTTTCTAACAAGTTAATAAGTTTTTCAAACTGTTATGAAACTTTATGAAAACATATGGCTTTGAACGTTTACGTAAAAAATTCTGATTTTATTTGAACTTTTGTTGCAAGCATTTTAAAAAAGAAACCCTTTTTATTTGCTAGGATAGTGTTAAGAGCAATCAGTGACAATTCTGGGGGAGGGGGGGGTCACTAGGACTATCATACGCAAAAATGGTACCAAATACAAAAATATTTAAACCTCTCGCCATAAAAACTTGCGTGGTTACGCAAGTTTTTAAAACGAATTGCTTTCTTAAAAAAGCTTTTTTCGTCGTACTGTTTAAAAAAACAAGAATTTAAAAAAAAACAACATAAGAATTGCTTCCATTGCAGCACAGTTTTCCACGTCTCGCTACCTCTCCAATCCGTTCCTTAAAAGGTTAGCTCCTTTTTTGTTTCATTTAATTGATAGGAAGATGCATTTTGGACAAGTCCGACGTTTAAAAAATCAGCTTCTCGCACCTGGCAAAATCACGCATCTTCGCACCGCTCACATACTCTGCTAATTATATAATATATTTAGTATTTATAATATAATATGTATTTTATTTGAGCTTAAATATTTTACAAACATTTTTTCCCTTGATTTTTCAGTTTAAATATATTTTTTTCTTTAATTTTAAGTTTAGATACCTATACCTATTTTTGGCTGGGCTGATGTCATTTTAGTGTTTTAAATAAGTGTTTTTGGCTGATGTCATTTTAATGCTTTAAAAAAAGTGTTTGCGTGATCAAGGATAAATTTTTCGTACACTTTGTCCCATTTTATTGTCGATTAACTTTAGATTTTTTAATGAAAAACATTTTTTCAACAAAATAAAAACAAATTTTTATTTTGAAAATTTTAGTACTATAATGATTAATTATTCTCAATAAGTTCATAAATAAAAATTTAAAATGGTGATATAATATACCTGTTTACCCATGGTTTTAACGTCTAGAAACTAATCGTCAGCAAATTATCTATTGCTGGGCTTTTTTTTAACTTTTTGTTAGTGAACTTTTCATTAGTTGGAATATTATTAACTGAAATTTGAAAATTTTTGTTTGAGGTGAATTGTTACCATCCCTAGTTTTGACAATTGTTTACTAATATTTTCTGCTTGTCATAAAACCTTTAAAAAAAAAAATAATAAATAAAAAAGAAAAATAAAATAAATAGTTTTAAAGACAAAGAAAACCTTCAAAAATCCATTATTTTTTAATGAAAAAAAAAATGGTATTATTTGATATAGCTTATTTTTTATTAAATTTTATTTTTTACAGCTCTAAGTTTCTTTTATATTATCTTCCTTGATTATTTTTAAAATAAAATTATGTTTACGTAAAGAAATATTTATGTACGTAAATTAAATATTTTTTTACATTTTTTACAAAACTTGAAAAAGTTACCAGAGTTACCGGTTGCTTTTTTTTATTTTGAAATGGAAAAAATAAGGTGTTTTTTTCTGAATAAAATATGCATGATTTGGCATTTCATGCCACTTCAAATGCGATAAAAAATGAATGAATATTTAGATATTGCTGGGCGACAGTTTTCAAGTAAAAATAAACCCTAAGCTTGCACACTTGTATTTTTTTGATAGCTTTTGTATCAGTTTTAATAAAATATGAAGAAGTCGGATTGAATTTTTTTTTATTTTTTACTTTGACTGCTCGTTTTTTTCTGTTGATAAAGGTAATTTTCTTTAAAATATTTGTATGAAAAAAAAGTTCTTTATAAGCGTGCTAGTATATAAATATATATAAGATAGTGATATTATTTAAACATCATGTCACTTTAGTAACGTATTTTTATACAGAAACGCGAATGTATAATAAACTTTACAAGTCATAATGTATTTAGTTGTTATTTTGGAAATTTTTATGTACACTATAATTTGAAATGAGTTTTTTCTATTTTATATATAAATTGTAATTGATTTAAGTGCGATTGTATTTAACTAAGTTTCACCCATGCATCAATTTTCATAAATGTATCTAACCGCATATGAAAATATTATGAGACAAACTAACTAAGAAAATGATTTTAATTAATATATATATATATATATATATATATATATATATATATATATATATATATATATATATATATTGCACCTTGCAAATATATTGATACCTTTTGGAGTTCATAAAATGAAATGTATATTATATAACATAAATTTTGTTTGTGTATTATCTATCATTTGCATCATTGTCATCTTTGTCACAATGTTCTGAATGACATGAAACAATCTTCAAAAATTTGCTTGTTGAATTGTCCACACTGCAACGCTTGTGTCCCTGTAGCTCACCTGACTTTTTTAGATTGCAATTATGTAAGTAGATTTAAAGCCATTTCTTTACATAATTGTTCACTTCTATATTATTTTGCACTTTTCGTTTATTGAGTATGCTTTACTGCATCTTACTATAAAAAAAAAATATAAACACGAATTAACATAATATACACTGAGATATAACTGATTATTTTCTAACAATGTTGCACGCAACCACTACTAAGTTAAGGCATATGAGAAAATAAAGTATGGGATTAAAGAGCAAGGAAACAGTTAAAAGATAAAAAAAACTATTCAAGAAATAGTTGTAGGTTGTATGATTTAGGAAAACATAAAGATAGTTGAGAGTTTTCTTGATGTGAGAAAGCAAAGCGAGAATGAGTTTTAGTTGATCGAGATGATAACTTGTTTGAGCAGCAATCATGATAGTATTTATAGAAAAGTAAAGAAAGTAAGAGGATTGTTATTCGTAAATATAGGAATGTTAACAATACTGAGATATTTGTTTGCAGTAAATAGCCAAGTTTGTTAAAATTAAAATCTACAAGCCACTGCAAGCCTTAAACTGGTACAGAGGAGAGTTCAGATTAACGATTGGCAGCTTGTTTTAAGCAATCAAAAAGTGAAGACTTTTTGTTGAGTTTTTAAATATTGGAACCACTTATTTAGTATTTATTAATAGTTTAGCGAGAATTAAAGAGTTCTAAAGAACACTTTTATAGGACTATGTTGTCTGAACCACAAGAATTTATTTTAGTAGTCAGATCTATTTGGATGTCTAACTGGGATGGCAGGAAGAGTATGGCCATTAGATTCAAGAGTCAAATTAGAAAAAATTTCTGCAAATAACTCTGTCTTTGTAAACAGCTTTAATCTAGGAAGAAGTATTAAGATCAGACTCAATTAACCTTATTAGTCTTAATCTAGGATAGCCTAGGACCCAATTAACCTTATTAGCCTTAATCTAGGAAGAAGTAATAAGATCAGACCCAAAGTAATAAGATCAGACCCAGACCTAGACTTAATTTAGTTAATGACTTTGTCGAAGACTTTCCAAAAATCTCTAGAACCTAACATCTGAAATAATATATAAGATTTAGAAAACTGAGAATAATGGAGCTTATTTTTGGGTGCTTAATACAAGGGAGGGTGGGACAGGGTGGAAATTTTAGTTCAGATCAAATAAACAGTGGGAGGGGGATGAAAATTTTTATTTTAATTCAAGCGTGGCTTGCTATCAAATGCACATTTTTTAACAGCTGTTTCAATATAATTTCAATAGGATTTAATATGCTTATGTAAGTTTACTTTTATAGTTTTGAGATGTTTTTTTTTTGTTGACAACAAGTAAAAATTGATAAACAAGGAGAAAGGGTGGGGGAGAGGGAGACCTAAATAAACTTGGGGTGTGTGAGAAAAATTTCCGAAAATTAACAAAGGTCCTCTCTTGTGTATTAAGCACCTAAGAATAGCATCAGATAGGATCTTTCTACATTGACTTCTTGCAATAATAAAAAAAATTTTGTTCTTAAGATTTGTTCTCAAGAGAAAAAAAATGATTACGGTTTAATATAGCAACTGCAAAAGAAAATGAAAAATGTCTTAAAATGAATGAGCTTTATATAAGGAAAAAGATAGTTTGTATGAGAAACAGCATAGAAGTTAAAGGCTGAAGATTTACAATCATCATTATGATGATAATGATCATGACAATCATAAATATGATGATCATGTTGATTATGATAATGTTTATATTCAAATATACATGCATATTTATTTAAAACATAAATTTTGAATTAAAAAAAAACTTTAGGATGTAACATGTAGCCTATGTATGTATAAAAAACTTTAGGATGTATCATGTTTATGCAGCCCCGGTCACAAACCTGACACATTTATTACAAAACCCAGTCCTGATCTATTTTCAACCCCAGTTATTTACTATTATGCAATAAGTGTTAACATTATAATGAGTAGAAAAATCATAATATAAGTAAATTTAGTTAGATCTTAATATAATGTCCCTACACAACATAAATCAAAATATGTTTAAATGCACTTTATCACCCACTAAATGTATTCTTTATAATAAAACAGCATTAAATTTAAAAATTTTTTGAGTGAAAAATGTTTTTGGTAATGCTACAAGACCCTTAAATGTTATACAGAAACCGCTATACTATCATTATTTTTAATGTAATGTATTTTTAGTATATTATAAAAATATACTAATATTTTATTTTCAATTTTATTTTTAAAATGTCATTTTTTATGCAGTTAAAATATTTGAAAATTTTAGCAGTTTAATGGCAGTACCTGAACCAAGTTAACATTTGTGTATTTGATTCACTACCACATACAAAATAAAATGACAAAATAAATCAAGCAAATACTTGTTTAGGTTGCATTATTTGTTTATTTTATTTATGCATTTGATAAAATAAATCTATGATAGATATAAAACAAAATGCCAGCTTGCTTAAAATAAATTATCAAGAAATAAAATTAAACTTTATCAAACTACAAAACCAAATTTAAAACACAGTAACTAAAAATATATTAGAAAAGTTATTTTTTTTATAAATTATAAGAACTTTATACGGTATATATAATTTTTTAAACAAAAAATAATAATTAAGATCAAAACCATGTGTTAAAACAACATATTACTTATATTACAAGGCATTTTTAAATAAAAAATTAAAGTTTTTATTACAAGTAAGAATTTATCAAAAATAAGTTTATTAAAAAATTGTATTTAAAAAAAATTGAATTAAATTTAAAATTAATTTATGCAAAAACCAGATTTATAACACCTATTAGTTAAAGCTAAAAAAAAACCTTACAATATATTATTCTTAAAATACACTTAAATTAACTACTAATAAATAGTTAGAATATAATTGAAATTTTTAAAAATTTATCGAGAACTAATTCATTTACTAAATTTACTAATTATTTATAAATTAAAATTAAAAAATACTTTTTTTTTTTTTCACTATTTCCCTTGTTAAAATTATGGTGGTCACTACAGCTAAGAAGACTACTCATTATTATTTTTATTACAGCCTTCTCTTTAACTAAGTCTTGATACACAAACTTTGAAGAACTAAGCTGATGTGTGATAAACAAGTTTAGTACTACCAGAGACATGGTGGGGATAAAATTTAGAACTTCGTACATCATGTGTACAAACAAGGGTACCTGAAAAGAGATACAAACAAGAGTACCTGGAAACAAATCATATTTATCCAAAAAAATCATCAGGTTCTATGAAGGCTACTAGTACAATCTTGATGTTCTATACAGTTTATATTTATTTATATATTGGCCATGTTCTAAAGCCACTAAATACAAGATGACATAGTAGCGCTTGAGTAGTAATTCGGGACGCAAAAATGTTGGTCAATAAGGGACGCTATTTTGGATTACTCTTAATGACTATTTGTGGCTGTTCCTATGCTAAGCCAACAAAATCTTTGGATATAAGAACATTGTATAGAAAAATATAGGATGAAAATTCAAATGTATAATAATAATAAAAAAAGTAGCGTACGTAATCGCCGTCTTTAACATCCCTCCCTTTGTATGCATCCGTTCATTTCAAGGTAGCCCTCCCGTCCCCCACATATTTTCGTACGTACTTTATGGAAAAATCCAAGAAAGAACCAATTAAGTTATGTCTAGTATCAAATTTCTTGTTCCTGCATTAAAAGCATTATCCGCTGTTCTCTGTGGTAAGACCGTAAGGACCTCTGGTGGCACCTAAATATAATTAAAAAAAAAAAAAAAATGAATTGATATTAAAGATAACCCAAACGGAAAACAAAGAAAAAATGAGTAACTTTTTTTTTGAGAGAAAAAATAGTTTTTTAAACCAATCTTATTGAAGATATTAAAATAAAAATGAAACTTTGGAATTAAATCGGAATACCTTACTATTGAGTCAAATTTCAAATATAAATTTCGATTATCATGCACAAAGTGAAAATAAATTTTCAGAAGCTGAAGTTACAAAAAACTTCATTCAACAATTTTGCGGTAAACCAAAAGGTGAATCGGAAGAATCAAAAGATCAAAATCTAAATCTAAATTTCAATTATCATAAAGAAAATGTAAATTAGGTTTTGCATGCAGGAGCTTCAAAAAACGTCATTCTACAATCCTGCAGTAAATCATTTTCAAACATTGAGACAAAAAAACGACGTCAAAAAACGTTTGCAAATGCTGTGGCTCCTCGTGTTCCCGATTACAATAAACTCAAAAATTTCAAAAACACAATAAAAGATGCCGGTGATCAAAATAATTTAATCTTAGACAACAATAAAAGTAGATGATCATATCAAATGAACTTGATATGAACTGAAATTGCACATTCTAACATCTAGAGTTATATATTTTCGCTTTCTATATAAGGCCGGCGCGAGGAAGGGGGTGTGACATCCCCATCCCTCCATCAATAAATTTTTCGCGCATTTAGTCGACAAATTTAACCCTTTTAGATAAGTCAGTCGGCAAATGTGCAAGTCCAGTCGGCAAAATTAGACAGTCAGTCGGCAAATCGCGACGTTAGAACTATTTTGTTCTATCTCCACGCTTTTAAGTTTTGAGATAAATTGGTTTGAAAAATAAAAATTTTAGGAGGCAGCATATAAAAATATTTTTATAACTTATGTTTTCTCCGCAACTTTTTTAGTTATAACTTAGGTAGACAATTAAACAAGCAAATTTTTGAAGATTGTTTTATCATGTCATTCAATAACTCAATTTTTATAAAGTGGAGATAGAACAAGATAATTCTAACGTCACGAAATGTCAACTAAGACTTTTTTTAAGAATTGACAATTGTGCCCTCTCCTCCCTAAATGTATTTTAAATGTCTTTTAAAAGATTTTCACATGAAAAACATTTAAAATACGTTTAAAATACGTTTAAAAAACATTTATAACGTAACTATCAAAAACAAATGCCCAAAGGGGTTTTACTTTCGTAGAGCCTACTTTCGCAGGTTTTACTTTCGTAGATTAGGTTTAACGAAAATCGCTACGTATTAGAGTCTAAGATCTCCTACAACTGTTTTTTAAAATAAATTTAGAGTTACGTAATTAATGGACGATCCCTAAATAGAAAATGATTTTCAAAGATTATTTTTGTAAACATATTAAGAAAATAGTCTCACAAAATATTGTTTGCGTTGAAAATAATGTCTAAAAACAAACTCCATTAAAATATGGAAAACTAAAATCACCACAATCTTTTCATAGAACTCCATTGATGGTAAAGATTTCTGATTAAGAACTTGATGTTTACAATATTATTTAAATTTAAAAGTTTCTTGTTTTACTATAAACTTCTTGTTAGTTACAAACTTGTTAGAATTAAAACTTGCAAATCATATATGTTCAACGTATATAATTTGTATGTTTAATAAGCATATAAATCATACCGATTTCTATATTTTTTTAACATATGATTCATATGTTTAGTTTAAGTTATTTCTATGTTAAGTTTATATGATTTATAGGTACATTCTATATAATTTATATTTTTAATCTATATCATTTATTTCGTCAATATATATCATTTATATGTTCAATAATTTTTATATTGATAATAATTTTATTGATGTTTTTATAGGTCAATTATCAATTTAATTTTTCTCTGTTACAATAGTTACATTTATTGCTTCAGTTGAAAAATGATCTCTTAAATGATTTTTAAAAACATTCTATATCATGACGGACCATATCATTCGCACATTTCAAGAATCATACGAATCTGGCTTGTTGAAACCAAATCAACTTGATGACACAGGTTTATCGTTATCACACAAAATGGCTGCTGATGGAGAACTAACATGTCTAAAATTATTGATAAACTTTGGTGGAGATCCCTGTTTGCGGTATTTATTTTTGAAAATTTTATCATCTTATAAATCTTTTTGCATATTTATAAATTTGATAAAACTTGTAATGCAAACTCGTAGTTAGAGGAATGGCAGGGAATAACACAGTTAAAGGAATGATATTCATCATTTTACTTCATTTGTTTAAATATGACGTAAAAATAATTCTAAAAATGCCTAACATTTAAAAAAAAAACTTTTAAATTTATTCTAAGACTGTTAATACTATTAGAGTAAAAAAACGTTATGAGAAAAAACATTTATTGCATCTTTTTGTTGGGCTTATGCATGGATATGATTTTTACCAATTTTTAAAAACATTTTACAACGTCCGAGTAAGTCATTCAACTTAGTGTTTCTGACATTGTCGCCATAAAAATAAATATTCATATAAAAAATAAATACTTTAAAAGTTATAAAAAAAATAGTTAAACTTTCAATAGCAATCAGACTAAATTAGACTTACCAACATCGAGTTTTTCAGTGTGAAATAAAAAATGTTTTTATTTAATTTAAATATATATGCTAATTTAATACGAAATAAAAAACTAAACTATATACTCATCTTGAATGAAAATGTTAGATACATTTATAGCGTCTTTCTGTCTCGCACAGAAGGAATTTTAAAACAGAAAAACGCTCAAAAAAAATGAACTAAAGTATGTATTTGTAAATCTACATTTTTACAGTTTTTTGCATTACCTGGATGTCTTAAATTTTGTTTGTAAAGAGTCTGTTTTCGCCTCCTGTATAAACTGGTTTTAAAAATTACTGACTCTAAAATTTAATTATTTCAACATATTAAATTTTAAAAAAAAATTTTCTCAAAGAGTTATACTATAGCTGGATTAAGAAGTAAAAATACGTCATTTTTAAAGGAACAGTCTTAAAGGGTTTAGTAAAATTCGTTAAGCGTTTAGAAATAATTTATTGTTATTTTTTAAATAATTGTAAATTTTTAGAATAGAATTAAATTAATAAATGTCAAGATAAAAATTGATATTGCTGGATTTATAAAAAGATATTTTATATTCCTTCATTAAAACATAATGAATTCCTTGCCAAAGAAATGGTATTTAAAAACGTACAAAACCCATAACTAAACGGGGAAGCAAAATATAAAATACAAACAAGTAGTAGAGATTGTTTAAAAATTTGATATTTATACCTATTGTTGATGTATTAAAAAAATAGTTACTATACGTAGATCGTGGGTTTTGTTGCGATTATTTCTTGATAGTTCGAACATTTGTTAAAATCTTATCCAATCTACTTTTTAGAGAGTAACCCACTTTAACTAAAGCTTTCAAAGGTTGCAAACTACATTTCAAAGTTTTATCTTTTCAACGCCAAGGCGCCATTTGACTGTACCACTATTTGAAACAAATTTCGGCTTCGTTCTCCCTCCAGCTAGTCTATTATAACTCTTGATTTTCTTAAGTTAGTTTAAAAATATTTTTAATCTGATAATAGTTGAGTATAAGAAACTTTTAGGAACTTGTAGAAAATTTTAGAGTTAGTCTTTAGAGTATTGCAATGTAAATTTATCTTAAATGTAATTTTCTTCAAATAGACTCAGCTTCATTGAAATATCTTTTTCGTTAATGTAAAATTTTAAAAAAGATTTTGGAAACCAGCTAGTTCAGAAAAATTAAAAAACACCTTGAAGGATTAAATCCAATTCCATTATTAAAATACCCACACTGTTTGTTAAAAGAAATCAAAAGCCTCAACAACAAGTTACAAAAAATTCACACCGTTTGTTAAAAGAAATCAAAAGCCTCAACAAGAATTTTAAAATCTTAGCTAGATCTTCAAAATAGAACGAAATCGGATAACGGTATATTCAAACTACCAAATACCATAAAATTACTAAGCGTTGAGCTTTTTCGCTTTGTTCATTTTATCAAATACATCAAATTCCTTAATTGTAAAACTATAGAAAGGCTCAAGTTTTTTGTTACCTTGAGTTATAGATATAAAAATACTTCCCATGAGTTCCTATACTTGATTAAATTAGTTAACAAACTAAGTTAAAAAATTAATTAACAACATGTATAAGTTAAAAAATTAATTAACAAGTTAAAAAAGTGCTAGTAAGTCTGTTTCATAGCTCTAAATTAAACTAAAATCGGTAACATTTTTAAGAATCTTTTTGCAATGCTTTAGTCACTCTTGTCTTTAAAATTGAAAACAAACTTCTAAAAACTGCAAACTTTGTTTTAATTGCATCAAAATTAATAACTTCTTTAACTGGCCAATCAGAAATTTTTTTTCTTTTCAGATGAACAATGCATAGGTTTAGATGTGCTTTTCCTTTACCAATTGGTTACCTACAGCGGTAACATTTAACTGATTCGCAATAAAAAAATATTATGCTGCTGCAAAAGATCTTCCTTATTTGAATGAAACAAAACTGATCCGTGACCAATTTCATAAAAACAACAACTTCATTAACAATGCAACAAAACTAAGACTTCAATATGTGTGAGTTTGTTTGAGATGCAAGAGTTTGTTAGAGCTTCAAGAATTTGAAAAAATTAATAGCTCTAGATCGGACATTTTTCTTATTTTTTTTTCTTTTCTTATTTCAATCTTAAGAAGAATTCTACAAAGAAATGAATATGAATGTTTATAGACGGCAAAAAACAAAGCAAATACACTTACTTTATAAAATGATTTGACTGAAAATGTCTGCAACATAAAAATAGAAGTTCAAGTTTTCTCAACTTTATTTAAAAAAAGAGTTGAGAATATGTAGTTGAGTATGGAACGGTAACTACCAACCAGAAATTTAAATAAATAAAATGCTGTACATATTATTCATATTAATATAAAAAACGATTATGAAAAGAGATTGAATAATAGATAAAGAAGAAATGGCTGCAAGAAGATGATGTAAATAGTGGTAAGATTTAAAATATTTAATAACCGGCTTGATCACTCAAAAGGTTTTTTCAGATCAAACCAGAATTAAGATTTTGGTTTTGGTCATAATTTTGGTTTAAAAATCTACTGCAAAAAGAAAGTATTCAACATAATAATTATATGAATTAAAAATAAATAAGTTCTTGTCTTTAATTCAAATATTAATGAACTAAAAATTAATGAAAAATGTATCCTTAACAAAATAGTTTTTGAATATTTCTTGGTTTAATTACGTCGAAATGAAAACGTTGACGTAATGTACGTAATAACGTAAATACAAGTTGACGTAAACAAAAATTTTTTTTTGCTAGGTGTAGTTAAGGAATCGTCCATAAACTACTCAACGTTAAATTATAATTTCGCTATTTGTTATAACTAATAGACAAAACAAAAAAGATAAAAAGTTTTTGTTTGCAGAGCCTTTAATTAAATTACAGATGTGCCGGAATTCGTAATTTTTAGGTTATTCCGGTTCCGGCCGGAATTATAATATTTCAGGCCAGAATCATTGTCCTACAGGGCAATGAGGAACTATAGGTAAACCAAATTAAAAAATACAAAATTCTTAACAAATACAATTTAATTTTAGGTACAGTTTAGCGCTCTAAAATAATTTTATTTTTTCACTTGTTACGCTCTCGTTAGTGGAGAGTTTTTAAAGATTAGAAATTTTATTTGAAATAATAAAAGAAAAAAGATTGCTGCCCTATGCCAAATCCTCAGTCAATGTAGCAGCACTTCCTTGGAGAAGCAGGCTATAAGATAGTCGATGCAGCAACACTTCTTTGTAGCAGCGGGCTTTAAGATAATGGATGTAGTAGCACTCCCTTGTAGCAGCAGACTTTAAGATAGTCAATGTTTGTACTAAACCAATAAATATTCTTTATGTTTATATTGAAAAGTCACCACTTTGAGCAAGACTCCACACGATTTTATTTATGCGACAAAATAAAATTATTTTAGACCGCATATTTCAGGGGTGGCCAGACTTTTTAGGATACAGGCAAAAAAAAGTTAAGAAATAATTTTGCGGGCAAAATATTTTTATTTCTACAAAAATATAGGTGACTAATAACTTATATAATCATTTGTATCAAAGCAATATAATTATTAATAGTGGTAAACTTGATCCTCTAAAACTAATTTTTCGATGTCTGGACTGAATTTTGAGGTAGATATCACATTACCAAAATGGTTGTCTTTTAAATATCCAAATTGTTTAAGGGCATTTAAAAAAGTCTTTGCGGGCATTTTTTTGCCCGCAGTGGTTTGGCCGCCACTGGCATGATTCTGGAACTTTGTCTAATTTCATTTGCAGTAATCACTTATGTAAAGATTTCTGAAAGTTTAGGAATATTGTGGTGCAAAAAGAGTTGCAAAAATATTACCTGTCTAGTTAAAAATTACAGGATGATAACACAGTAAATATTTCATATATCAGCATATATATATATATATATATATATATATATATATATATATGTATATATATATATATATATATATATATATATATATATATATATATATATATATATATATATATATATATATACATATAATATTAATAGTAATATACATATAATATTAATAGTAATATACATATAATATTAATACTCTAATTTGGAAAGAAGCAATTATTTTACAAGTTAATATATGAAATAGCTAGTATATTTGTTGTCGCGTTTAAAGGCACATAACTCTCCTAGCTTCAAATTAAGAAAATGCAAGCTTACTGAAAACAAATTTTTTTTAAATTTATTTTAGGTGCATGAAGTTATTACAGTCTTATCACAGAGCAGCGCGGAAGAGCATTTGAGAGGAAGTTTAAGCCTCTTTCCTTGTTGATGTTATAAAATTTACCCAGAGGTGGCATTGAACTACGTATCTCTAGTTTCTGAGGCAGGCGCGCTAACCACTGTACTATGGCTGCTCTTGAAAATATTTTATGAAAGCATATGAAAAAATAAAAACTTAAGGAAAAGTTGTTTTATTAGGAAACTTAACTTTTATTAGTCTGTCACGATGCTTGGTCAGAATTTTATCACGGATACTTGAGAATGATGGTTGACTTTATTATAAAGATTGTAAACATTTAAGGTTCCACATTACTTTTTTTCTCTTGATGAAAGCCATACCGGGAGGAATATTTTTAACAAAACTTAAAGAACAACAAGGGGAAAAAATGAAAACTTTTTGCAAAAATTTGAATCTGCTTATGACAATGCAACAAACGTCAAAACATTTTTTAATGAACCATGCTGTAATTTCAAATCAACAGGATGCGTTAACCGCTCTCTTCAAAAATTTGATTGGAATATGTCAGAATCCTATCCAGAATTGTATTATTATATAAACTAAAATGTACGATTAAATTAAATTACTAAATTAAATTTTCTTTTCAAAATTCATCGTCATTTTCAAAAAACGGTGTTTTCTGAATTTTAGAAGAGGCATAAAAAATGGTGTCAGAGATTCTTACATCCGTTCTAGATTGTCCTAATCGTCACAAAAATATTTAAATCTTTAGAAACAAGCGCTAACACAAGCACCGACACTTTATTTCAAAACTGAAACTAAAAAATTTTATAAAAAACGCTATGAAAAAACCATGTTCATAAATAGTAAACAAAGAACAATGATCAGTGGCAGGTCTTCTTGGTCCCTTCTTTTGATATGATGCTGCTAAGAAAATGCTAAATGCGTCGTCATGTTCTGAATAGACAGTTAATAAACATTTGATACTCTGATATTATTTATCCATTCTTTGATATTCAAAGTTCATTCACAAATATTCATAATCCATTCTCTGAAACTAGAAAAAAACAACTTTTTGTTTATGCCAACAATTATTTCGAAATATCAAACTATAGGTTAAATAAACGTTCCACTTTTTAAATGATTAAAGAAGTATTAAATTATATTTTAGATTGTTCATTAGCTTTCCAAAGCCTTGGATATCAAAACTTATGTGAAATTAAATTTAAAAAGTTACTTGGACATCATTTTTACTTGAAAGTCTACAGAAAAAATGGTAAAGACTAAATTTAAGACAATATTATAAAATAATATTATATAAAATAATATTATTAAATTATTCAAGAAGTAGATGCCTAGAAAAGTACTTATTGTTACAATGGAACTCCCGCGATAGTCATACAACCTTTTTGTTTGATCTATTATCTTGCCATTTCTCCAATTTCATGGTAAACTTCTACAGCGCCAAATGTATCGATTAGGTACCTAATACATAATCCTGCTAATTTTCTTGAACATTGTCAAACTGAGCAATATTGGACAATTATTAAAAGAAACTAATATAAGAAGTTCAGTGGAGTGAAATCAGGCGCAGAATATGAGTATTACCATATGCAAAATCTTATGGCTCTCATTAGGAGAAAAATCAAAAAAATTTATCATAAATATAAAATTTTGATTTTTTTCTTCTTTATTATTTGTTATGCATGTGCTTTCAATAAAAAAAAAAAAAAACTTTTTTAACTCTATAAAACTTTTGAATTTAAGAAAATTCACTCTATTATCTCACTTCTTACTACTACTTTAAAACTGAAACTTCTTTTAAGAATTTCCTCTAATAGACACTCTTCAAAGAAACAAGTTAATTTATTGTAAGGCAATAAATTCATTTCTGCTCCTGTTGCTAAAATTGTTTCTTTTTAAACTGCTTACTTGTTAACTTTTATAAAGGTTAAAAAAAAAAAAAGGTTAAAAGGGTACTATTTTGCATTAGATGGAGTTGGTTAGACAAGAGGTATTCTTTTGGACATAATAAATTCTTTGGATAAAATCTAGCATGTTAGTCTTCTCCAAATGTTTGCTTCATATTATGCGTTAAGTAAAGTTTTTAAATAGAAAAATTATTATTTTTCTAACAGCAGTATTAAAGTTTTCCTTGACAGACAACACTCTCCTTTATTTCCAGTAACTTCATAATACTATAAAGTTCTATCCTTGTTCTTGTGTTACTTCTCATCTTTATTAATAACTTTCTTTTCATCTAAATAATAACTTTCTTGTCTTTAAAGTGGATGTGCTTGTTGATGACACAACTATATAATCCAGTCTTAATAAAAAGTCATCACTTTTTGATCACTTAGAACAGTTGCAATGTCATCTCTCCACCTCGCAATAACATCTCTCCTCTTCGCAATATCATCTCTCTTCTGTGGCAGTTTGGGATTTACAGTGACTGGTGAAATTTAACCCTAACAAAACTTATTTGTTTACTGCTAATAACTTTTTTTTATATTCCTATATTAATAAATGATAATAACACTCTCACCGATTCATTTACTTTACAACTTCTCGGATAATCATTCACTACTGGTCTCATTGAAAACCTGTATACAAATCATTGCAAATTTAACATCTCCAAAGATTGCCTCTCTATATCACGCTTGTCATTTTTTAAATTTTTTTATGAGTTTTTTTTAAATGAAACTTACTCTTTTTTAGACAAGATCCAAACACTCTTTATAAATGTTGTTGGACCTGCTCTGACTGCCATTATTGAGCCTTTGTTCCATTGTCATTAGGCTGCATTTATTTCTATTTTTTACAAATACCACCATAGTAACTGCTAAATCTCAAACTAAATCATCAATTGTAACTCTCGAGTGACTTATCTTTCACAAACTATCATCAATTGTAACTCTCGAGTGACTTATCTTTCACAAACTATCATCAATTGTAACTCTCGAGTGACTTATCTTTCACAAACTATCATTAATTGTAACTCTCGAGTGACTTATCTTTCAACTAAGTTGAATCCTTTTACTGTAATTGTTTCTTCAAGCTCAAAAAATTTCTATTTATCTAGTGATTTTTTTTCAAATCTTTTTCTTCTTTTCTTCAAACTTTGGTGCTCTAGAATTTTAAATAAGCTAAATTTTATCTACATACTCAACAGCTAAACTGTTGAATATGTAGATGGTGTCTAATACGGTTAAGAATTCTGAAAAATGCCCGTCAAATCTGGAAAATTACATCATTGTTTATAGACTGTTTTTTTTTTTAACTTTGTATTCATATCTACAACTAACGTACCAACGTTATTATTGGAAATAAACAGATTTTTATCAAACAGACGGCCATGTTATAAATTATTTTAACAAAATGAATTAAAAAATGCTGTTGTATAGCCCTGATCAAAAATTTTATCTTTTTTGTTTTAAAATAAGACCTTTAGGACCTGGTTCGCGTTAAACTTTTTATTTCTGAGTTATCTTGCAAAAAGATGAATTTGGGTAATTCATTTTAAAACCTCATAATTAATAATAATATATAATAAATATAAAATAAATCTGTGTACATTATATTGAAACAATATCTAATAAAATCATTTTTAGTAATATCAAAATAAATTAATTAATTAAAGTTATTCTTTTCTACGTATTACAAATGCTCATAAAAAAATAATAATATTGTAAATTGCAGTTTTGCTATTTTACATGGATAGTTACGTTTACATACCACTAAAAACAACACCTTCAAAATAAAATATGTTTAAAATCATTAAAAACATTTTCGACTCTATTCTGTAAGGCAATAATATATGCAGAAAAACTTTGAATGATTTAAAAAGATATTTTTTAATCACTTGTTATATCTATTACCTGCAAAATTATAATAAAACAGCTGCTAGCAAGTAACTCAATAATAAATTTAAGTTTATTTTTTGCTTATATAAGGAGCGTACGATAATCACGGGTAAATATTTTTTTTCCTAATAATGCTAATATAGTAAATATTTATGACATAAATAAGAAAAGTTTAGTATTAATATATATATAACATATTATATATATATATATTAATACTAACATATTATATAATATTAATAATATATTAATATATATATTACATATTGATAACAAATTTTATGTTCAGATCTAGCACTGGTGCAACTCCTGCACATTTTGCTGCATCTAACGGTCATTTGCATATTCTACAATATTTGCACGAAATTAACAAAGACGCAGTATCGCTAAAGGTGAGGTAAAAATTAAAGATTTAACCAGTTTAGCGTATTAGAGTACTTATATTGCGCTTCTATATTAATATTAAAAACAATTTCTTAAACAAAAGCAACCTTGCAGGCAAGTTCGTAAACAAATGTAACCTTTAATCTTGCAAACAATTTTTTAACAATCACAACTTATTTGTTAATAATGAACACAACTTATTTGTTACTTGTTTGGTCACAACGTACAGATAACTAAAATTAAAAACATTTTTTTTTAAAAATAAAATAAAATAAGATTGTTTAAAATAAAATAAAATTGCTACAGATAAAAAGAAGTTATATTTTCATTTAGAAATAAATATTTATCTAGTTTAAGAAACACTTTTTTTTTATTACAAACTTGATTTTTTGAAAAGTGTCCATAGTTTTAGTTTGCATAGTTTTATGCTATTCCATATTGAGAAAACTATTTGTTTTTGGTAATATTTCATTGGTTCTTAAAAAATACTTTTTTCTTCTCATTATTATAAACTTATAAATTTAAAATAAGGTTTTTAGGAATCAAGTTGTAATTGAAATTAAACAAAAAAACTAAAGTGTTGGTAAATAACAGTTTTATAAATATTCATCGTTTGCATGTCATTATTTGTTTTTGCATGTGTATAAATGTTTTTATTATATGTAAGTTTTTATTATGATTTTCTTTATTATATGCAATATATTTATTATCATGTTTTATGAAAACTATTTTTTCTTATTTTACTCGGATCTAAAAATACTCAAACAAAAATAACCATTGCTTCGTAACTTGATCAGTGATTCTTTCTTAATTATTATAATGCGCTGTCAATACATAAGTAACGGATTTAGTAAACTTTAAATTAAAAAATAAAAACTAAAATTTATTGATAACTAAAATTTGCGTTTATCTGTTCTGTGCGTGATTCTGCTTCAAACTTAATTTATCTTTTAATAACATAACTAAGGTAAACCAATTTGGAAATGCCAGGACTTTTTGATGTTTCAGATATGACATTTTAAGACATTATTTTGATGTTTCAGATATGACATTATATTTAAGACAAACTCTAAACTTAAGCTTGCATATATTTTGATATCTATGATGATAAAGATGTGTTTTAAGAAGTAATTTGAACGTCCAGGTCTTTTTTAAATGTTGTTGAGTTATGTTCTGGTGACTTAGCCGTTAGAGTTGTTCTTGTTGATTAAACAAACGTGGGGTGAAAGGTTACATTTATTGATGTCTGTGCTTTTCTCGACGTTGAGCTCCAGCTTTTCTCCACGTTGAACAACCAGGTTCGAGTATATATATAAATAATTTTAATAAAACTGTCGGTAAGTATTTATAAATGATTCAAAAAAGACTTACTAAAACTCATCAACTGTCGTAAACTTACTATTACTATTATGAAAACAAAAAAACGACAAGTTTCAAACGACAAGTTAGCCCGACTAGCTGTTAATGGGTTAATCAGAACGCGCTCATTTCGTGTAGTTTAATTAATTAACTAACTAACCCATTATAATGTGTATTATGAACAAAATAAAAATTATCATACAAACACAACTTTATAATACATTAACTGTATTGTATTGATATACAAATAATATGTAAAAAATATACAGATACATGCACACCCTTAAATAACGCATTTATGATCACAAATATAATCATAAATGCGGTAAAAGCCACGCTATTAATCTTGATTAATAGCTGCATTTGATAAAGTTGAGGTAGAAATATTTTGAGTATGTTATGTTAATTAAATAGAAATTTAGAGCAGCGATCTAAATTTGCAATAATTTGTAAAGCATATTTTTATTTACTTAGCTGTTTATTTACTATAGTCGCATTTTAGTGCTTGTTTATTTTAGTCACGTTTAGTAAAATAATAACTAAGTTTACTGCCTGGCGTGTAGTGTTTTCATATTTTATAAACCCAGCACTTAAATTAAAAAAAAAGTTTACTGCCCGGCATACAGTTTTTTAAAAGTGTATGCGTATTACAATTACCGGGAATGTAGGTTTTACGCTTTTACTACGAGGCTGCCGGGTATGCAGACACGGCGCCTTTTATTTTAATAAGGAAACATGAAAAAAGAAAGACATACATGACCGCTTTGATATAACAATGAACAACAGGGATGCGGAGTCGCAAAAAATACTCCGGATTTGAAAGCTACAAAACAATTATTTTTTCCTAGTTTTTGGAATCCAGGAGCTCTAAAAATATTTAAAAATTTTATGGACTACTATTGGTAAAAAGTTAAGACTTTTAGGTCAAAGGAACAATCATTTTTTGAACTCAATTTAATGATGTGGAACTTATTGTTTATACCTATAGACTCCGAAACTCCGAGCTTATAAACAATAAGTTCGAAGTCATTAAATTTCACTAATTGTTGACATAAGTCAATCAACATGTTTAAAGCTTTTGGACACCTGGTCTCTACCAGGAAATAGAGATATAAAGCCAGAGTCTTTTTGGGACTCCGCATCCTTAAAATTTGTGAATTTGTTGGACTATATATTTTAGATTTATTAAGTAAAATATAATTAATGATTTAGGTTGCTGCATTGATGGTTTAATAGTAATGCCTAAAAATTTTGGTCCACAGCTCAATAAAATTAGAAAAGATTAATAGGATTTTTTTCAAAATAATGGTTTTCAAAATTAAATTAAATAAATTAAAAAATTGGAACTTTCTTGATGTCACATTTAACTTCTCCGAAGATTCTTTCAAAAAACTGAATGATGAATTATTGTATGTTAACATTAACGATCCACCCCAAACTTTAAAAAAAATCCTAATTTCAATTTAGACTAAATCAAAATTCTTCTGATGAAAATGTATTTAATTTCTTTAAAATTATTTACAAAGATGCCCTTAAAAAATTGGATTTCAAAGTTTTGAACTCAAATTTAACCCAGAAAAACAGAATGCAAAAAAGCGAAACAGAACTAGAAACATAATTTGGTTTAGCCCCTCCATAAAGCAAATATGTTTCCACTAACATCGGAAAAATATTTCTAAAATTAATCAATAGGCACTCTACGCTCTCTAATAAATTACATAAAATTTTCAATGGAATTATAATTAAAGGTGCTGCAGTTGGTAGGTACTATAGTTGTACAAGGATCTGCAGTTGCTCAAGAATTGTGGAAATAATTATACACAAATAAATAAACACAAATTGCACATTATAAAAAATTATTTAGTATTTAAAAATAAATATACTATTTGCATATAAAAAAGTAAAGTAAACGTTTTTTTTTTTTTTAAGTAGTAATTTTTATTTTTATTCTGTTCATTCTTTCATTTAGTTCTTTGATGTGTCCATGATTATGATTGGTGTGGTGTCTAATTAGTTGTGATTTTGTTTTGGATTTGTACTTTTGTATTCAAATATTACTGTTATGATATATTATTACCGTTATTTGTCACCAATTTAGTTTTGCGGTAATAAACATTTTTGTTATTAAAAATATTTGTAAAAGTAAAGTAATAAGGCTGTCATTGTCAACAGCAACTGTCATTGTCACCAACATTGTCACCAACATTTTCACCAACATTGTCACCAACATTGTCAACAGCAACAATAGCAACTGTCATTGTCACCAACAACAATTGCTGCCATTGTCACCAACAACACCATGCTATTGATGAAAATGTCATCAATAGTATTAACTGTTCATCGTCACCAATAACATCAGCTGTCATTGTCAATAGTAAAAAAATTTATTTTTAAAAAGGAAAAAGTTTTTTCATTTTTTGGAATTTTAAAATATTAACTTTTAAAAATTACACCAGAAAAAAGACCTTTGTAACAATCTGTTTACATATACAAGTTGCAGAAGTATAACGATATCCACTTTGTTATTGTTTTCAAGAATACGTTCCTTTTTGCTGTAGCATTAAGCATTTGTTATTCTTCTAAAATCAAGAATGAGTTCCTTTCTTTATGTTTTTGATACAATTTTTCTTCTGCATATATCATAAAATACTGGTATCGGATTCAATTGTGGATCTAGGATTTTTAACTATTGAATAATAAACCATTTAAAATCAAAAAAACAATCGAAAATACCAAAAAATTAATCATGGATTGAACATTATGTTTGTTCAGTTCCGAGAGGGAGGGCGCGAGGGACAGATTGTAAATAAGGGCGCCAATCAGGATTGCTGTGTGATTGCAGCGTGAGAGCTCTCGGCGGCCCTGTGTTTGTTTCTAATACCCATTTTATTTTTGATACATAATTTCTTCCACATTTATCTATTGTACCGATGCCTGGTTCAATTGTGGATCTAGGATTACCAGCTATTACTTGATGAACTATTTGTTCGATAAAATTTGCTTTGTTAAACAAGACAACTTTTTTTATTTGTTTCTTAGATTATGTGCATAAATATTAGCTCCTAATGCTGGCAATGGTTAAACTTCATGCTAAGCCTCTATTTCAATAATTTCAATAAAAAACTTATAAATATATATATATTGATATATATATATATATATTGATAATATATATATATATATTGATATATATATACTGATATATATATATATATATATATATATATATATATATATATATATATATATATATATTATATATATATATATATATATATATATATATATTTATATTTATATATATATATATATATATATATATATATATATATTGATATATATATATATATATATATATATATATATATATATATATTGATATATATATATATATATATATATTGATATATATATATATATATATATATATATATATATATATATTGATATATATATATATATATATATTGATATATATATATATATATATATATATATATATATATATATATATATATATATATATATTGATATATATATATAAATATATATATATATATATATATATATATATATATTGATATATATTTACTGATACATATATATATATATATATATATATATATATATATATATATATATATATATATATATATTGATATATATATATATATATATATATATATATATATATATATATATATATATATATATATATATATATTGATATACATTGATATATATATATATATATATATATATATATATATATATATATTGATATATATTGATATATATATATATATATATATATATATATATATACATATATATATATATATATATATATATATATATATATATATATATATATATATATATATATACATATATATATATATTGATATATATATATATATATATATATATATATATTGATATATATATATGTATTGATATATATATATATATATATATATATATATATATATATATATATATATATATATATATATATATATATATATATATATATATATTAAAAATGTGAACTAGTTATAACTTTTACGAATAAATTCAATAATAAAATCATTATATCAATTTGTTTCATTTGGAAATTTATTTATAATATAGTAATAAATGTAATGTTTAAATTTTTATTAAAGCAAATATTCATAACAATATTTCTTTTTATAGGACAATACTCATGTAACACCATTGTACATAGCAGGTTTGTAAAATGGGTAATTTTAAAAAGCAAACAACACTAAATTTAAATTTGTAGAAAATTTAACTTTTTTACAGCTCAAGAAGGTCAACTTGATTGTTTAATTTGGTTAATTAAAAATTCTTCGACTTCTCCTAATGTAAAAACTATAAACGGAATGACTCCTTGTCACGTAGCATCTCAAGAGGGCAAGTTAGAGTGTCTTCGGTATTTGCTTAAAGCAGCTCATGCTGTTTTTAGTAAAGACAATGAAGGTAGATCTTTCCTTCATTACGGTAAGATTTTTACTATTAATAAAAAAAAAATCAATAAAAAAAATAACATACATATATATATATATGTTATTTATATGTATGTATGTATATATATATATATATATATATACATACATACATACATACATACATACATACATACATACATACATACATACATACATACATACATACATACATACATACATACATACATACATACATACATACATACATACATACATACATACATACATACATACATAAATACATATATACATACATACCATAGGCGTAGAGTACTCAAATTTTCAAGGGGGCAAAAAGTTAAAGGTTCGATTTTTTTGAGCGATGTATGTCTACTTTCAAGTATTTATTATTTTTTAAATAGAAATAAAAGTAAACAACTTTTGATTTTGGTTAGCTAGCTTTAAAAAATTAGAATAAAACAAGTAGATATGAAATTTTACTTGGTTTCCGAATAAAACATTCTACGGAGTGTTTCGTTTTTTTCAATAAACTTATCTAACAAAAAATGCATTTCGAGACTCCTGGTAATTTCATTATGAGTATTCATTAGAGAAACAGCGTTCAGCCGTTCCTGGCTCATGGTTGATCGAAGAAAAGTTTTTAATCTACGCAGACTACTAAAGGATCGTTCTGCTGTACAAGTTGACACTGGCTGGACTAGAATTATTTTAATAAAACGGACAATTTCCAATCCAATGCTTCTCAATCCAATTTGTCCTTTTGCGCGGATAAAATCTCGAGTTGATTGAAAATCTTCTAATTGAACTTTTTTTTTGCTTCTTCAATAAAAAGGTTACTGTGAAGCTGCAGTCTTTGATAATTAGGAAAATCGTCCTTGTAGAAAGTTTTTATGTAGTCGATACGGCATTCATTGTTATTTGATCCAGTTGATTAAAATCTATCGGTGAGGCCAACTAAAACTGCATCTAAACTGGTAAAGTATAATTGCTTGTAGATCTCATTTGGATCCTCTGGCTGGTAATAAATCCCTGAAGCCGACTTCAAATCTTGCAGATACTTTTCTCTTCCTGGGCAGAGCTAGTTTGTCTAAATCCATCTTTTTAGCAGATTCAAGTGCCGCATCAAAAAGTGTTTTGAAACGTGACTCAGTAAGTAAAGATCTCAAAATATGTTTCAGGATCTGAATGATGGATTCAGCCTCGCTAAAGTTGAGTTGGCTACCCTGAAGTTGAATGCTTGAATCTTCTAGGATGATAAAAATGATTCGAAGAAATTCCAATATAAAAAAAGTGTCATAAACCTGAAATAAAGACAAAAAGGTCATTGCCTCCACTCGGCATTTAGTAAAGTCAGGGTTTGTGGTAAGGTCTTCCAGCCAAACGAGAAGTGATCTGTATTTACTGGTAATAAATACTAGAGATGACTTGCGCATTATTCATCTGGTTGGGCAAAAAGGTCTAAATAATTTTCCATTTTGGTGTCCATCTTTGCTTTCATTTTGGTCTTTTAGGCTTGAAAACCAAGCGAGCCTCTTTGGTGAGTCTCTGGTAAAAGCGATGAACTTTTGAACAAGTGACATGATATTTTCTATATCAGGTATGTTTTTTATTTCATCTTGTACGACCAAATTTAGATTGTAAGCTCTGCAATGAGCATAAAAGGCTCTGCTTTCTTGTTGAAGAACAAGTTTTTGCAAGCCAGCTATTTCAGAAGACATGGCAGCAGCTCCATTGTAGCATTGTCCCCAACAGTTCTCAAATTGGAACGAAGAAGGACGTCTTTCATAATCAAAAACAGATCCTTGCTTTTAGTTGTGGCTGTCTCATAAAATCCACAAAAATCCTCATTAATTTGGAACTCATCGTCCACAGTACAGAATGATATCGATACCTATACAAATTAAAAAATTATAAAATTTATTAAAGGAAAATACAAAGTTCAATGAATTGTTGGTTTAGCTAATAATACCTGCTCTTTTCCTGTGTTATCAGACAATTCATCCATCATGAATTCAATGAAATCTCTTTTTTTTTATTGTGTTTGATAATTCACGTTGGATAACTAACGAAATATCCAACAAAATTTCATTTCTGACATCTGAAGATATCTACTTGTACTTCTCTGGTCGATTCATCCATTTTTTCAAAACCGGTACATTCATAGACCTCAGTTCTAAGGGGTGGAATAGATTTGAAGACTCCTTTGTCTTGCCTCTGATGGCCAAGCCTTGACAGCCGAAAAAAATCAGACCAGAAAATATATAGCCGAGAGCATTTCTTGCGTCCTTCATATCTTGAAGATGTTGAGTAGAAAGTTTTTTTCCGCCTTTTTTCCATTTGAACCTTCTTTTGATTTGATTTGGTATGTTTTTGGTATTGGTATGTTTTTAGCAATGGATTATTTATTTCTTCGCTTTTTACCGAAGAAACTTGATTTCTTTCAATGATTTGTTCCTCTGTTTAAAAATAAAAAATCAAAATAATAATTATTAATAGATTAGATAAAACTTCAAGGAGGGCAAACGAATTTTTAAGGGGGGCAAGGTTAACTCAAAGGGGGCAGGCTGTCCTCGTTGCACCCTGTACTCTACGCCTATGATACAAACATACATACATACATACATACATACATACATACATACATACATACATACATACATACATACATACATACATACATACATACATACATATACACATACATACATATACACATACATACATATACACATACATACATATACACATACATACATACATACATACATACATACATACATACATACATACATACATACATACATACATACATACATACATACATACATACATACATACATACATATATATATATATATATATATATATATATATATATATATATATATATATATATATATATATATATATATATATACATATATATATATATATATATATATATATATATATATATATATATATATATATATATATATATATATATATATATATATATATATATATATATTATTTTGTAGCAGCCGCAGAGGGTCATTCTAAAGTTATTCAATGGTTAATTAAACATTGTGGACTTAATCCGGATGAAAAAGATAAAACCTTTACTACTCCTCTTCATATAGCAGCTTGGTGTGGACACGACAAAGCAATTGAAACATTAATTGCGTGGTGAGTTTTTTATTTTTAGTTTTAAAATTTAAAATATTATAAAATCTTCGACGCGTTTTACAAGGATTGTGTTTTGGAGTTTTTGTTTGAGAAAGAGTAACAAAGAAAATAAAAGTTCAATTTAAAAAAATTATTTGAATGTTATTTACTCCTTTTAATAAACTTTGTTTATCATTTATTTTATTAAAAAAAAAGTGGCGCAAATGTCGATTGTGTTGACAGCTCAAACAAAAAGCCATTGGATTACGCTAAAACGCTAGGGAAAAAAAGCACTGCAAACATACTTTTTGAAGTAAGTAATTTTTAAACATAATTAATGATTGTTTATTTTTTTTGTTTGTGATTATGGTTTTCAGGTATAATTTACGTTACAAACATAATTTATCCTTACCATTCACTAAAAAAAGACCATTTCAAAATACCCTTATTGTTAGTAGCTTCGTTCTTTTAAACGAAAACTAATTTTTCAAAAATTTTGTCTGAAAATTTATTTAAAGAATAATAATTATATCTATTTTTATTTCTTTTTATTATATTTACTACTTTATCATCATTTTTTATTTTTTTTATTTAATGTTACTCTTATTATTATTATAGGAGTAATAATTTAAATTTTAAGTGTTTCATTTTATAGGAGTAATAATTTAAATTTTAAGTGTTTCATTTTACAGGAGTAATATTTTAAATTTTAAGTGTTTCATTTTATAGGAGTAATAATTTAAATTTTAAATGTTTCATTTTATAGGAGTAATAATTTAAATTTTAAGTGTTTCATTTGATAGGAGTAATAATTTAAATTTTAAGTATTTTATTTTATAGGAGTAATAATTTAAATTTTAAGCGTTTTATTTTATAGGAGTAATAATTTCAATTTTAAGTGTTTCATTTTATAGGAGTAGTAATTTAAATTTTAAGTGTTTTGACGTCATGCTGTTTATTTTACTTTTTTATATTATTTTTCACTATTGTTAAATTTGTTTATATAAAGTATTTTTATAATTATAGTTTTTTCATTTGTCATTTATAATATTATAGTTATTAATTTTATAGTTAAAATAAATAAAGGATTATATAATATGAAATAATTAAAAGGATTATAAAGCATAAAATAATTAAAAAGATTATAAAACATAAGGAAAATAAACTTAATTCAATTATATAATATAGTTATTATTTTTTTGGTTAAAATAAATAAATGGATTATAAAACATAATTTTAGTTATAGCATAACAACAATTTACAAATAGGTATAAAAAAATATTTAGAGCTGTTTAAAAACACATGGTATAAACATTAAAAATAGTAGATAAAAATCTTAAATATAATGTTTTTTTAAAAAATTTATTTTTTAAGGCCATGTCAAAAGCTACAGAACATAATTCCCTCAAACGTGTTCGTTTTGAAGAACATCAACCAGCTTCTAAGAAAATACTAACATTGAAATCAAAAGAAAAAAATAGAATGATGGTCAACGATGAAATAATGTTTCAGTTTGACACGTGGTCAGATTCATCAACGACGAAAAATAAAAGAAATAAACGAGAATTGTACAAAACTTCTAATAATCTTTTTAAACATAACTTAAATGATGACTTTGATCAAATTAATATTGGAAAGTTTAAGATGCAAAAAAATAATAATATATTCTTAGACAGTCCAGCCATGATTAGTAAATACAAAAATAATGTAACAGATAATGGCAAGCAATCAACCACCAGACAATTCGAAGAAAGGTTAAAGCATATTGACCATAATTCTACAAAACACAATAATACGCTATGTTCTCAAACAAGTTTTTCAAATCGTCCTGCTTCAAAATCAAATAAAAATAATATCAACTTACCGAGTGAATTGCCTAGACAATCATCAAAATTAAATAGACATTTTATAAACAAAAGTTATTTATGTGATAGTAACTTAGTTAACTTTTCTGACGACAACGATAAATATAAAGAAATACAAGAAAGATCTAATTATCATAAACGTGATGTGATAAATTATAAAAAAGATATTGAAACAGCTAATAATTTAAAACAATCTGAATTTTTAACAGTATCCGATTTCAATGAAAAAACAAATTATATTCCACAGTCGTATTATAAAAAAAAATTGCAAAGTGATAACATAATAAACAATAAATATCATAACTCAACAAAATATACAAGAGAAACTTTGACGCCAAAAATAAAACCAAACAATCACCAGAGTGTACCATATAGTTTACACGAATTAAAACTTAAACGCAGTAACAATAGATTAACAAACATTGAATATAACAAGGTTGTATCACGAGATTTGGATATAACTCCTGCAAGAGAATCTGAGAAATTTGAGTTTTTCTCTAGCAATTTAGTCAATAACAAAAAGGTAACTTTGTTCAATAAAACAGAGTAAAGCTAAAAAAAAAAATTTAAAAAAGAAAAAATTATTGTCAAAGTAATTTTTTTACTTTTAAAATGAGATTTAATTATTTTATCTATTTTTGTGTAAAAATTAAACTATTTTATCTTTTTCACTAACTCAATTTTAATTAATTTAGCAGAGTAATTGGTCAAATATTCGTAACGGCTTAACATCGTTTTTTACGGGTTTACGATCAAAACCAACCAATCAAAATCAGGTAAATATTTTACTTTTTTTTTTCATGTTGATTTTAGGTGCCCCAAGAAGTCCTTACAGTCTTATCACAGAGCACCGCGGAAGAGCATTTAATAGGAAGTTCACGACTCCTTCCCAAACGATGTCGCAAAACTTGCCTAGAGGCGGGGTTTGAACCACGGATCTTACGTTTCTGAGGCAAGTGTGCTACCACTGCGCCACGGCTGCTTTTACTTGTTTCATAATGTTTAAAATTGCTAATGGCGAGCTTTCAAATAAAAATTGTTTACGATATTTCTAAATGTTTTGTAGTTATATTTACTATTTATTATTATTTTTACTATTTTATTATTTTTACCTCAAGTTTTTTTTTTAAAAAAAAAACTCTTAATTTTCATAGGATAAATTCAAGACGCTTGTAACTCGCGCTCCTCGAGAGGATATATTTAGTCGCTTTAATAAGCCAAATAAATCTTCTAGAATTGAGTTTCATGATTTGTTTAATTCGTCAACAGTAGGAACTTATACAATTAATAATGCATCTCGTCTGACACCGGCAAACGAAAATCGCCATTTAACCTTTGACGATTTTTCAAGAGTAAAAAGTCGAGCGTTAGATACTTCTTTAAGAGGTAAAAACAAAATTTTTGAGGAACATATTGAAATCCAAGAAAAGCAGGCGAGTGGAGATAAATTAACTGGAAGCGCATTTATTTGGTAATTGGATAGATATTTATTTTTTCTCCCTTATTTTTTACATTTTTTACCACCGAGTTTGATTTTATAAATATGTTTTTTAATTAAAGAGAATTGAATTTATTTCTTTATGTCAAGTTTTGTTAAACGCCATTTTATCAAATCTTTAAACAACATTTGACATGAGTCAATAATGTTAAATTTGAAATGGAGTCTCGGAACGTGGGGACGTTAAAAAATAATATGAATAATTAAATAAATATAACAAAATAGCCATCATTTTGAAAATTTCCATGTTAAAAGTTAAAAGTGCGTAAAAAATGTAACTAAATATAATATGAATAATAAGTCTTTTGATACAAAGTTAAAAAACAATTTATTGTAAAAGTTTATCAGGTAACTAATTATATAAAATATAATGCAACTTTATTTTAGGTATCGATATAATATTCTATTTTAAACTGAATAAAACTTTATTTTAATAAATAAAAAGCAGTATTTCTTAAAACGAAAGAAAAAATTCGCTCAACTTCTACGCAAAAAGTTGAAAAATTAAGTTTAACAGCTGCAAACACGGAAACTTCTTTATTTTATGTGCGTTTATTTTATGTTCCAAGAATTCATGTAAAATGATGACTTTAAAATAACCTCTGATTTCCTGATTCTGAAGTCAGCACTCTAACCACCAGCACGATTGGTGTGTGTGTGTGTGTGTGTGTGTGTGTGTGTGTGTGTGTGTGTGTGTGTGTGTGTGTGTGTGTGTGTGTGGTGTGTGTGTAATTTTTTCGTTCATTTAGTCGGCTAATTTGACCTTTTTTTACTAGTCGGCAAATGTAGACCCTTTTGACAAGTTAGTCGGTAAATTTAGACAGTCAGTCGGTAAAAGTCGTTATGACAGTCGGCAAAATTTAAAAAACGAGGACTCTTTTTTTTTTTTAGTCGGCAAAAGTTTTAATGGCATCCCCCCTCTCCACGTGACACCTACTCGCGCCGGCCCTGCTAACCACTACTCAGATTAGTTAAGGTGGTTCCTACATAATCCAAAGTCAAAATTTTTTCAAAAATTGATTTTTTGGTAAATTAGATATTCTAATGTAAAATTTAACTTTTTCTCGTGGTATGATTTTTTTTTTAAGTTTGTTATTGCTTATTTACAATTTTATACAGGTAGGTATAATTTTAGTGCCTAGCAACGGTCATAGCAAACGTTTTATTTTTTTAGTTATTAAGAAACCAAAGAAACTCTTAGTAGATGGTAAAATAATATATGACAAGTCAATAGTCGTTGAAAATCTAAACAGCTTCTTTCTTAATATTGGTCCACTTAGCTGAAAAAATTCCTTAAAATTCATCATCGTTTGATTCTTATTTAAAAACATATGATAAGGTCATGGACGAATCTAAACTAGATATTAGGGGAAAGCGGGGCAACATGGCGAATGGGGCAAGATGGATTTTCATATAACAACTCAACAAAAAATCTTAAAATTAGGTGAAAACGAAACTGTATTTGCATCTTGTATTTTAAAACACTAATTGGCTTTTTGAAATATTATTAACGCATATTTATACACATAAGTTTACTTTAAGCACCTAAAAAAAAATTCCTCACTTTCGGTTTCTTATAATGGATGGGGCCCTTCAAGTTTAACTTCTTTAGAAGTAGTTTTTTGCAATTTGTGTTTATTTTTTGTTACTTTAGTTAGAGTTATTGGTAGTTTTAAAAATTTTATAAAATTAGAGGTAAAAATTGCATAATAAGTCATCTTGCCCCGGTCACGTGACCAGATGACAAATTTATGAACTTTTTATTTTAATATTTTTTTCAAATTGTTATATTTGAAACCTGAAAATTCATGCAGGCAATGAAAGAATTTAATAACATAAACATACTGAGAAAGTATTATGGCTTCACGACTTATAGTTTTGCAACAACTCAGGGCTTTCAAAACGTTCGCCATGTTGCCCCGCTTTCCCCTAATGAGTTACAATCTGCTCTAGATAATCTTAAAAGCAACACAAGTGTAGGTTTTGATAATATTAGCATAAATGTTGTTAAATCAGTTTTTCATATTATAGAAACCTCTTTATATCACGTTTTTAATCTTTTTCTTCAATCTGGAACAGTTCCAGAAAAATTAAAAATTGCACGTGTCTTGCCTATTTTTAAGTCTGGCGATGACACGGATTCTTCAAATTATAGACCAATATCAGTTTTACCATGCTTTTCTAAGTTAATCGAACGTATAATGGTAAATGGTATAGGCTAAACAGCTACTTAACAGTAAATAACATGTTGTACAACAAGCAATTTGGCTTTAAAAAAAATCATTCAACTGATCACGCTTTGACCGAGTTAGTAACTCATGTAACCAATGCCTTTAATGATGACCGTTATCACATTAGGAGTATTTCTTGATCTGTCTAAAGCCTTTGACACAGTCAACCATGTCGTTCTTTTAAAAAAACTTGAACATTATGGAATAAAAAACAATAATTTACTATGGTTTAAAGAATACATATCAAGCAGACAGCAATACATTCAATATGAAAATGTTAAAACGACAAAAAGTATAATAAAAGTGGAGTTCCTCAAGGCTCAATCTTAGGACCGTTACTGTTTTTTCTTATATAAATGATCTATCTCTTACCTCAAACATATTAAACTTTATTTTGTTTGCGGATGACTCCAATCTGTTTTATTCTCATAGGGATATTAAAACCCTCTTTAAAGTAGTTAATGAAGAAGTAAACAAAGTAAACGAATGGTTTATTTGTAATAAACTTTCACTTAACGTTAACAAAACTAAGTTTATTCTATTTCACAAACCAACCAAAAAAATTCCTTTAAAATTACCCAATCTTAAAATCAATAATATAAATATTACTACGCAAACAACTGTAAACTTTTTAGGTATTGTTTTAGAAGAAAATTTAACATGGAAAGGAAGGAAACTTATAAGCACTCTTGAAAGAAAACCTTCAATAAACATTGAAATGATGTATAAACCAAAACCATTTTTGGATATAAGATCTCTAAAACGTTTATATTTTTCCTTTATACATAGCTATCTAAATTACGGCAATATCGTATGGGCAAGCAACAGCTACGCTAAGTTAAAGAAAATTTATGCTAAACAAAAACATGCATGTAGAATTGTATTTGTAGTAAAAATAACTGTGCCTTGTGAGCCACTTCTACGTAAACTCAATGCATTAAATGTGCTTAAAATTAACATATTCCTCGTCATACAGTTCATGTATCAAATAAAACATGGACTAACTCCAGCGATATTTTATCCTTTTTTTAGAGAAGTAAGCCATAAATACCTCACCAAGTTCTCAGAAAATAAGTTTGTATCTCAAAAGTATAATCTAAAGTTATGCTCTTATTCTATTCAGTACCGGGTCCAATTTTGTGGAAAAATTTTCAGCATATTGTTAATATTAAAGAAAAAATATTTCCGCAATTCAAATCAAAATTAAGATGTTATTTAGTACTCACGGATTTTAACCCTTTCGTTACCGATACCCCGCATAGCGGGTAATAAAATATGTCGTTAAAATACCAGTACCCCGCATAGCGGTGTATGAAGAGTTTTGCTTCCTGTCAACCCCGGGTTTTTTGAGCAACTTTAAAACTTAGCTTAATAGAAACTCATAGAAACTTAATAGAAAACTCATAAAAACTTAAAAGAAATCCAATCATAAAGCAAAAACCGCATGAAAAAAGCTTTGTTAGATTAGCTGTTATTCAATTTTGAAAAATGGCTTGTTTACGTCAAAAAAAAACTCAAATATTGACGAAATTTTAAACATTGTACTTGAAGAAAGTGACAAAGATAGCAATCAAAGTATTAATCTTGGTGATAGATAGATAGAGGATGATAATTTAATAGAATTTGAAGTTGAAAACAGTATGACTTCTACTAATATTCAAAGAAAAGTTCAAGTTACAAATAAAAACAATGTCGATAAGTTGGAAGCTGCTGTTCCTTTTTCTAAATCTATTTTACCATCGATTAACTATACTGAAAGTGAAAGCTTTTGTGTTTCAAGCACAAGTGACAGCAAAATTGAGACTTTTGACACTCATAAAAAGAGCCCACGTACAAGAGGTGGAGGTATCAGACGTGTACTTGTTCGAGGGGTAACTGGTATTCAATGTAATAATAAAGTAATTTCTGTAAAAAGTGATGCTGATTCTATACATGCTAACAATAGAGAACCTATTGCTGATGATGCTTCATTTAATGTCAATATACTTGATAATGTTCTCCAAGGTAGTATGCGTAAACATTGTAGAGTGCATCATTGTGGTAGAGTGCCTAATCGTAGTAGAGTGCCTAGTTGTAATAAAGTACGTAATAGTAGTCAGAAATTTCCTCTGTCAACTTGGAAAAAAGTTAATAAAGATGTTCCTAGTAATCTAATGGATTTCCCTGAACTTTTTCAAGAAGGTTTAAATGTTAGAATGGGGAAAAACCCAACTTGTCTCGATTTTTTTGAACTCTTCTTTCCAGATGAACTTATAACTTTGTTAGTTGCAGAAACCAATCGGTATGCAAGGCAGTTTTTTGCTGCTAATCCAGATAACTCTTCTTTGTGGGAGGAAACTAATGTTACAGAAATTAAAACCTATATTGCTGTCATTCTTTTAATGGGAGTTATTTATAAACCCAAACTTGGTATATATTGGTCAAAAGATGCATTGTATAATACTCCAGTTTTTCAGAAGTTATTAGTCAAAATCGTTTTAATATATTATTAAAGTTTTTTCATTTTATCGATTTAAAACTGTATATAAACCAGGAAAAAATCTTAGTGTTGATGAATCGCTTGTTCTTTATAAGGGTCGTTTACATTTCCGTCAATATATTAAAACCAAACGTGCTCGTTTTGGGATAAAGTTATATGAACTAGCAACTTCAGAAGGAATAACACTAGACTTCCTTGTATACTGTGGTAAAGGAATGTTAGCTGATAATGATATAAATGATCAGATGCCTTCATCAGCAAAAATAACATCTGTGCTGATGGAACCTTTTATGGGTAAAGGTCACACTCTTTATACAGACAATTATTAC